CCCACTTGTCCACCCACGTGCACATCTCTGTGCTTCTGCTCTGGTCACTGTTCTGTCCTAAGGATATCTCTGCCCCATTCAGTGACAGTCACAATCCTGGAGCTGTGGGTGATGGTGGAAGATGGGAGTTCTTGGGAGCCCAGCAGCTCACCTGCACCTGCTATTAAATCTGCGGCTCACAACAGCTGAGCTCCTGTGTGGCCTGGTTCCTGCTGGTGGGACAAAGTTCCCACAGGGTCGGGCAAGGATCCCTGCGGAGCAATGTTGGGGAGCAAAGGTCTCATCCAGAGAACACCACGTCCTCCAGTCTGCCTCTTCTTCTTTGAGCAGCTTCTGTTTCCCTGAATCTCTGTGTCCTGCATTTATAATAGTTCATGTAAAGTTTTGATAGGCACCAACCTTCCTCTTATTTATGTATTTCCAAGATATGGATTAGGAGGAAGAGCTTGAAGCCATCTTGTCCACAAATGGAAAGGCTTTAATGGGAACAAACCCCCCCACCAAATGCTAGTGAAATAAAGAGGTGTGTGAGCTAAAGTCAGGCCAGGCATCACCAGTATAGAAAGGGTCACCTGATAGAAAGGGTCAAGTATCAGAGAGCTTCAGACAGCTGATCAGCATCTGTCCACTCTGCGGTGGCCATGTGCCAGTAGTGGCCTGGGCCCTGCACAGTGAGCCATCCTCAACCTTGGGAGTCTGGAGCAGAATCCATGTGTCTCCTGAGTTGACCAAGACATCATTTCTCAGAACCTATGCTCAGATGGAGCAGCAGGGAAACTACCCAAGTCCTTGCTGCCTAGAGCATCAGGTGCAGGGCCAAGGGGCTCAGGGGCCCACGGTCCTGTGCCTGAGCATAGGTCTGCTGTTCTGTGATGCCCAGGTCTCTGCCCTACTTCACTTTTCCTCTTTTCCCCTTCCTGTCCTCTTTGTCCTCCCACTTTCTATATCTCTCCACAGACTGCACCTCATCCCGCTGCTTAGCATCTCATTTTTCACTTTAAACACACAAAGGAGGAATGGAGGGTTTAGTATTGAAAAAAGAATGCTAATTACATCATTTACAAAGTTTCCCATGTGATTGGAATAGAAATTTATGCAAAGATGGACTATATTTTTTCCCGATAGAAATTGAGATGTACCACTTTTATACACTCTTGGAAACTGGGATCTTCCCAAAGATCTCTGGAGACTGGACTGGCCATGGGGACCCAGCTTGGCTGCTACACTTTAGCCAGAGGCTTGGACCTCACAAAGGCCCCCGGGATGCCCACATGTTCAGTCTCCATCCTCTTACTTCCCAGTCTCATTCCCGTTGTCCCACTTCCCACATACCTGCAGCACTAAGCACCTAGTGCAGCAGCACAAGTTCCTCCTCACTCAGCTATTGGAGAGGAGACTCTCAGCAGCTGGCCTGAGGGAGTCTTACAAGAGTCACAGGCGGCAGGAACCAAAAACTGCCCTTCAGGATATATATATATATATATATATATATATATATATATATATATATACTGGAGTTCGACTTGCCAACATATAGTATACCACCCAGTGCTCATCCCGTCAAGTGCCCCCCTCAGTGCCCATCATCCATTCACCCCATCTCTCCACCCACCTCCCCTTCCACTACCTCTTGTTCGTTTCCCAGAGTTAGGAGTCTCTCATGTTTTGTCACCCTCTCTAGTTTTTCCCACTCATTTTCTCTCCTTTCCCCTATAATCCCTTTTCACTATTTTTTATATTCCCCGTATGAGTGAAACCGTATAATGTCTGTCCTTCTCCAATTGACTTACTCCACACAGCATAATACCCTCCAGTTCCATCCACGTCTTCAGGATATTTTGAATGAAAAGAAAGTAAGGAAGCAGAAGACTCCTCCAGTGTTTGACCTCTGTTTTCTCACATAGAAGTCAGAGGAATGGACATTACTCTGTTCTCTGAGGTCCCTTCACTTCTGTTTGTGGTATAGCGCACAATAAGCTGATGGACCCTTCCCACAACCACTTCAGTCTCTTGGGAGAAATCCTGCTGAGTTTGACTCTAAATAGAGTAATAGGTTATTTCTCTCTAAACTGTAATACTACCCAAACAAAATGTTGACTTAGAAGCAAGGTAATTCATTGCAACACTGTTTATCATAGTGAGTAATTGTCAATATGATAATGGCTCCCAAATAAATAATTTATAAAGCAACTTACAATTTATGCAAAAATACCAAGCAAAGATCCACAAAGATCTTTGAGCATATAACAGCATGAAAACATCACAAATTTTTGAATAAAATAGATTATAGTTATCATTCCTTTAAAATCACATGTTTTTACGTACATGGGAAGACATCCATAGAAAATACTCTGGCTGATAGATATTGAAATATTAGCACAATTGTCTGACTGATAGAAGTATGAATGAATCTAATAGTTGTCTGTTTCGCTGCCTTCATTTCTAAATTTTCTACAATGAAGATACATTATCTTATATTTTTTTTAAATTTATTTTTTATTGGTGTTCAATTTGCCAACATATAGAATAACACCCAGTGCTAATCCCGTCAAGTGCCCCCCTCAGTGCCCGTCACCCAGTCACCCCCACTCCCCGCCCACCTCCCCTTCCACCACCCCTAGTTCATTTCCCCAGAGTTAGGAATCTCTCATGTTCTATCACCCTCACTGATATTTCCCACTCATTTTTTCTCCTTTCTCCTTTATTCCCTTTCACTATTTTTTATATTCCCCAAATGAATGAGACCATAAAATGTTTGTCCTTCTCCGATTGACTTATTTCACTCAGCATAATACCCTCCAGTTCCATCCACGTTGAAGTAAGTGGTGGGTATTTGTCATTTCTAATGGCTGAGTAATATTCCATTGTATACATAAACCACATCTCATTATCTTATATATTAAAGTCCATAGGTTTTTGCAGCTTTTTCCAGCTCCAGGTGGTAGCCCTCAGATTGCAGAATAGTCAGGTTATATGCATGTCCGCATATAACAGTGTGTGGACAGAGGAGCGTTAAGGGTCAGCTCTGAGTCAGACTGTCCCCATCTATGGATCAGAGTGCCCATTGGTTACCTAGCTATTGGAACAAACCTTGGTAATGTAGAAGGATTCGTGACTGCCTATGATTTCCCACCAATTCTGGCAAGCCAGAAATAGGTAGATAAGTAACTTGGAATGGATAAGGGTGATTTGGGGTGGCTTAGTGGGAGGCTGAGCAGAGATGCATCCAGTTATCTATGTCTGGAGACACCTGGGTGGCTCAGCAGTTGAGCGTCTGTCTTCAGCTCAGGGCATGATCCTGGGTCCGGTGATCAAGTCCCACGTCGGGCTCCCTGCATGGAGCCTGCTTCTCCCTCTATCTCTCTGCCTCTCTCTGTGTGTCTCTCATGAATAAATAAATTCTTAAAAAAATTTTTACCTGTGTCCCTATATACAGTTTTCATATGTTCACCTAGAAGTTTTTATGCCAGGGTTACTGTTAATAATGACAGTGTGTATATACCTCAGGGATGGTTGGGTGTAAAGAACAGCTATGGGGCGTTTGTCGCTGCTAAGGTGGTAACAACACTAACTATAGGGCTGGGAGTACCCTCATCCTGTAACAATTAGATTGTTGGGTTATGTTAACTCTCAGTTCCTAATGCTTGGAGCTCAGAGGTCAGGTGATCTTGCTAAGGGTGTATAATTATTTAAATATAAAACTTTAAATAATAATTGTAAGTATTCCTCATTGTTTTTTCTGGTAAACTTCAAATTTTTTGTGTATAATTTATAAAATATCCCAAATTACCTCTTTGTAGATGAATGGCCAATCCCAAGCCCACAGTCACCTGTGTTCTTCCCATTGGTGATCTATCTTTAGCAGAGGAGTAGATTATACAAGATGTTATTCAAAGAGTTACAGTGTTAAAAATTCTCATAGTTGCATTTGATAGTCATTTTGTTAGAAATTCTCATTACTCAACTTTTTGAACTTTTTTTGAACTATGTTTGAGGCTGAGTGATAATTATGCATATTTTATTTGTTGAATAATTAATTAGTGCTACTTATATGCCAGACATTGTTCTATGTGATTTATGAACATTTAACAAATGGTCTTCCCCATTTAAAGATGAAGAAACTGAAGTACACAGAAGTTAAGCAGTTTGTTCAAGACTACACACTCAGTGGGGGATGAGGTTGGGACACCACCCTAGGTAGGGGGTCTCAAAGGTTGTGATCTTATTCCCTACACGATGGTGCAAATGAACATAAAACACTTAGCATTTCAAGAAGACATAAATATCCTTGTTACTTTTAAATCAATGTGGATCAATATACAAACCAAGCATTCAAGAACGGACAAATATGGCAAGCTAACTCAAGCTGCTGTTCCCCCCCCCCCACAAACTGAACTCTAAAGTTTTCACAAGAGCAAGAGAGGATTTCTAAAACTTGAGATGTCTGTTTGTAGAAACAAAAGACAACAAAATCCCAGTCTGGAAAACAAAGCGAAGCCCAGAAATAGGTTCTGTTCACAACACCTCAGAACAAGAAGAAAACTTGTTTCTTGTGTTCATTCTTCTTCCTCATCTCTTTGAACATTGAAGCAAATATCATATGATTTCTCTCATATGTGGAATTTAAGAAACAAAACAGATGAACATAGGAGAAGGAAAGGAAAAATAGAATAAGATAAAAACATTAAGGGAGGCAAACCATAAGAGACTCTTAACTCTAGGGAACAAACTGAGTGAGGGTTGCTGGAGGGGAGGTGGGTGGGAGGATGAGGTGACTGGGTGATGGGCATTAAGGAGGGCATGTGATGTGATGAACACTATTCAATGTGATGAACATTGACTATAACACCCAGTGTTCATCACATGAATCACTAAACTCTAACCTCTGAAACTAAAAATACATTATATGTCAACTAAAATGAATTTCAATAAAAAATTTTTGAAAAGAGAAGATAACAAAGATAACCCCCCACAAGGCATCTGGAATGCGGCAGCAGCTCAATAAATACTGAATGAATGAAAGAAGACACTGGGAAATAACATGATAAAAACAAAAATGATGACCTCGCTGGTCTCCTCAGCCCCTGGAGCACATTCTATCTGTGAGGCTTCATGAGGGTTGGGCATTTTGTCATTTTTCGCAGCCCTTAGTGCTGCTCTGTCCTTGTTGGTGATCTGTCTCCCAATTCCTCTGAGTGTTATGTCTCCTTTATATAAGAGTAGATGACATGGGAGTCCTAGGAGAGATGCACAGTTGAAGGAAGTGAAGGAACATGGCTGGAGGGGGAGACAACAGGGGAAAGAACTCTCCAGGAGTCCAGCTCACCTTGTTCTCCAGAATTGTCCTTCTGATGTTTGCTATGGAGAAAAAATATTACTCAGCTCTTGGGTTTCCACTTAGACCTCATGCCCAAATGGTGCTCCAGGGCACATGCTAGTGATGCTTAATGTGTCGGTTCCAGCCTCTCCTGTTCTTCTCTAGAATCCATGCTTTAATGTTGTCCACTCTGCAGTCCTTCTAAGACCGCCCATGCTCTAAGCCCCCCACCAACCCTTGTTAAACAAAATCATTCCTCTCTTTGGTGCAACTTCTATGGATTATTGACAATATGCTGTCATAGCTCACTCTCCTGTCAGCCCTTTATGCTCTTCAGATAATGACCACAGGTGGTTGATGCACTATAGAGAAGGAAACAGGAGGGGAGATCCTGAGTCACACGGCAGCTTGAGCATGTGGCAGCTGCTTCTTCCTCTCTTTATTCCAGGTGGGCAGACTGGAACTGAATCTCCCCCTTCCCTTAACAACACATCAACACTTCAAGGGCCTGGAGAATAAACATGCAGTGGACATGACTGTACCTTTTCAGTTTTGTTGGGCTGGTCCCTGACAGGGAAGGAGAATGACAGGGTCATTGGTTCTCTGCAGGCCGTAGTGGCACAGCCATAAGCAAGGCTGGTTGGGGACCCAGCCTCTGTGGCTCAGAGGAACATGGCTGAGTGACCCTTTGCCAGGAAACCCACTAAGCACCAACAGCCTCTGACTCCAGCAGAAATAGCTGGAGCATAGAGCCAAGGGCATGTCTGAAGGTTGCAGCTTCAAGGACACTGGAGCAGCAACAGAGGTTGGTTGGTTGAGAAGAGACAATTAGGGAGAATCTGGAATACAAGACAAGGGGAAAATAAAATCACATAAGGGTGGGAATACCTGAAGTATGGTATGTACAGTCCGGAGGAATTGTCCCAGTTGAGAAAGGTCATTGCCAGGCTTCTTTGACAGGACCTTGTATTCCAGATTCTCCCTATTGTCTCTTCTCAACCAACCATCTGTTTTTGCTTTGTTTTGTAATTCAGCTTCTCCACGAGAATCTGCCTGAAAATATCTCTTGCTCCCTCTTGGATCTACAGATTTCATACCAAGGTGAAATATTGTATGAAAGCCTCTATTGCACACATGGTCTCACTTTCTTAGGAAGATGCATCTGACAAGAACCACTTTGCAGTTTCTCACCTGAGTCTTCTGGTGGCAGGATGCTCCAGACCTGGGAATAAACCACATCCACATCTACAGGGTTCACTGCAGGAAAAAGTGTGCACAATGGTTCACAGGTGTCCACGGACAGGGGTTCAACCTTCATATGTGCCTTCCCAGTCCCCTGCTTTGTGACTGTCCTCCCAACCCCAACATGATTCTGAAGGTCATTTATTTATTGAAATTGGGCTTCATGGGGTCAGGGCATGTAGACCATCTCATGGTTGTTGTTGTTGTTGTTTTCTTTCACCTGCTTTCTCTTCCCTCCCAGCTGCAGCTCTAAAGCCCCTTTCAGTGGGGAGACTCACCATTGACATACTCTGGCTGCAGTTCCTCAGTGTCTGGGAGTGAGCTGGGGCGAATGGACCCTTGAGGGTTTGCACTGGAAGCATCTCTGTGTGGAAACAAACTAACTACATAAAGTCCCCAGGGCAAGAGTGAGAACAGAGAGGAGGTAGGCTGAGGAGAGAGTAGGAGGGGCCAGGAAGACAGGGCACTTGGCTTGGGTGATTTGATGGCCCTTCATCTAGACTCTTAAGGTATGGTCTTTCAGGTGGGCAGCCAGAGACAGGCCACAGCATCACAAAGTACTTTCTTAATAGGATAGCCTCTCTGATGTGGCAAACATGTTCTATTCCTCATATTTAGCTTTTTCAAAAGTTATAAATAAGAGAATGATATTGCCTTAGATTTAATTTTTTCTCTTATAAACTCTCCTAGAACTTCATCTGCTTCTTTCTCCTCAATTTATCTCTCTTTTGTATATTGTATGCGTCTTACATTCTCCATAAGACATTATGTGTCCTATGGAAATAAATTCCATTTTATGCATATTTTCACACTTTTAAAAGCCTAACAACAACTTGCTCATGTATTGTAAATACTCCATAAATAATCTTGAGTATGTGAATTAGTAGGGTAATTTAGAAACATTGAATCCTATGCAAGATAACACCTAGAGTCATATGGGCCACCCCAAGACAGCACCCTGATAGAAAAATGTAATGAATACAGACATGGTTGAGTATCATAGAAAGATACTGCGTAATCTGTACATGCAGAAGGAGCAGTAAGTATTTAAAATCATAAATGAGGAAGTTCTCTAGAGTTCCCATTTTGCTTTTTTAAAAATTTTTATTTATTTATTTATTCATGAGAGACAGAGAGAGAGAGAAGCAAAGACACAGGCAGAGAGAGAAGTCGGCTCCATGCAGGGAGCCCAACGTGGGACTCAATCCCGGGTCTCTAGGACCACACCCTGGGCCGAAGGCGGCGCTAAACCACTGAGCCACCCAGCCTGCCCCTAGAGTTCCCATTTTGAAAAAGAAAAGTTCTCACCTGGGTGCATCAGTGGCAGAGTGTCCACCTAAAAGCAGATAAAGAAATATTCATTTTAGGGGACGTGTCCTTACCTCTTAAAACTTTGACCTGACTTAACCACATGTCGTCACTGTTAGGATATAAGATACAGAATAGAGATCCAGTTATGTTGTGTCCTGATGACCACTTATTTACTCCAACACTGTTAGTTGGACAACCCATTTTGTTTTCCCACTGATCTGATATGCCACTTCAAATGGCAAACCCTACAAGCATAGGTTATTGTTTCTGGATTTTTTATTGCTATTTCAATTATTGCAAAATATATGTTACCTGCTGAAGACTTCACCACTCTCCTTGTTTAGGTGAAACATTCTCATTTTTTCAATGTTCTGATATTTGCAACCCCCCCGCCCCCAAAGCAGTGGTCTTGGGTTTAGGCTTGATGTTGACATTCATAAGACCCAGTGGACTCTTCTTTGCACCATTTAGCTTTGCAGAGAGATGCAGAACAAGAAACACAGCATGTCATCATGGATGTGTCAGCTGTGTCACCAGGGGGAAGGAGCTCTTTCCTGGTCCTTCAACTAACAGCTCTGGGACAAGTCCACATGGGTGGGAGCACAGGCCACTACAAGGGATGTGATTAGTCTCAAGAGTCGCATTGCACTTGGGGATGTGCCCATTTCTGCTTCTCACTGAGCATTTATAACCCCACTCAGAGCCCTTCCAGTTTAGATGCAGCTCAGCAATCATGAAAAACATTGCGTGGTGATATAGCCAGCGCTCCAACTGTATTGGGTTTTTTGTAGACAGTGTTAGAAGGCTAGCCTAAGTGTATTCTCCAAAGAGAAGGAGGAACTAACTTATTTTCTTCAAGGAAAAAAGAATGACCTCAGGATTTTCTACCAAGCCAGTCACTCAACCATAAGGCAAAGGATGCACATCTTCAAAGAGTAGGAAATTGGCGTATGTGATTCTAGCAACTCCATCCTGAATAAATTATTTTTAAAAATGGACTTTAGTCTACTTTCTAAACACTTTTGAACAATAACAAAAATTGATGATATCTTGGCTCCCAAAGAAAATTCCAAAAATATTCTAACAAGTGATGGTATAATGGTATAAATTATCTTCTCTGACCTTAGTATAACTGGTAATTCATCACAAAACTGTGAAGACATCTAGATATGTGGGGCACCTGGGTGGCTCAGTGGTTGAGCATCTGTCTTTGGCTCAGGTCACGATCCCGGGATTCTGGAACCAAGTCTGGCATCAGGCTCTGCCTATGTCTCTGCCTCTCTTGAATAAATAAATGGATAATCTTTTAAAAAAAGATAAAGAAAACTAGATAGGTCTACAACATATACATTTAAGGGAATTAAGTCTTCAGCTACTAAATACATATATAAATATATAAGACAAAGGAAAGCAAATCTATTAAATGCCAAATTTCTTCTAAAGAATAAGATTAACAAGAACAGAATGCAGCAACTAATGAAGATAAAAGCAGAAATGTCAGAATTAGAAAGCAAATGGTAGATCAAATAAATAACTCTAGCAGCTTCATCTTTTAATCAGAAGGGCGGATACCTCTTTTTCTATGCCACTCAAGAATGCGAAAGGAGAAGGTATGGAGAGATAAATGCAGCCACAGAGAAGCTAGAGGAATCACAGGACACCACTTCACTCCACTCCGAGTAAGCAGATTTTGGGCCCTGGATAAAACAGTTGGTTTTCCAGGAAAATTCCCCAGAAGACAAAGAAACTGTGAACAGAATGTGGCAGTCAGGACGGAGTGTGTTATGCTACATTGACAAACTTCAGGCTGCAGGGGCTTAAAGCAGCACAGGTTTGTGAATTTCCCACTTGTGCCGCAGACCTGTCAAAAATATGCTTGGGGGGGATCCCTGGGTGGCGCAGCAGTTCAGCGCTGCCTTTGGCCCAGGGCCTGATCCTGGAGACCCGGGATTGAGTCCCACATCGGGCTCCCTGCATGGAGCCTGCTTCTCCCTTTGTCTATGTCTCTGCCTCTCTCTCTCTCTCCCTCTCTCTCTCTTTCTTTCTCTTTCATGAATAAGTAAATACAATCTTAAAAGAAAATATGCCAGTAAGCCACTCAGGAGGCTGCTGGAGGCCACGCTGTCTGGAGAAGACACCGTCGCTCAGCGTGAGTTTGCGTGAGCACCATTGCTTGGGAAGGACAAGGAGGCAACAGCCCTGCTCATAAATTCTTCTGACAGGAAATAACACAAGCGGCTTCTGCTGACATTTCACTGTCTGCGTCTCACTTCGAGGAGACAAGGAATGCACCTGCTTATGAGCCCAGAGGCAAAGGGGGGCCGGGTGTCAGTGAGCATTAGCAGCGCCTCTCACAAGATGACTTAGAGCTAGAGACAGCTGTCAAAGAGCTGCTCCTCCAAAACCCCAACAGGCACCATTCCACAAAATCTTTAGAAAACATTGCCATGTTTTCTATATTGTCATGTAAACGATTCCCTAACATATAAGACATATGAAAAGAGGAAAAGTGTTAAATTTCCTTTGTAATGTTGAGTACGAAACCCAGAAAAGATCACAATTAACAAGGAACCTGGCAAAAGTCACACATTATGAATAAAAAAAAACTTTGAAACAATGCTAGTTTCTGTTAAAAATGCATCACTAAAATTGAATTTTTACCACGAATGCAAAGATTAGTCAATATTAGGTATTCTGGTATAATGTAATTGGTCAATTTAATAGATGAAAAAAGGAAAACGTGTGATTATCTTCACAAATACTAACAAGTATTAGCAAAAATTAGAAATTGTTTCTGGGGATGTCTGGGTGGCTCAGTGGTTGAGCGTCTGCCTTTGGCTCTGGTTGTGATCCCGGAGTCCTGGGATCGAGTCCCGCATCAGGCTCCCTTGGGGAGCCTGCTTCTCCCTCTGCCTGTGTCTCTGCCTCTCTCTCTCTCTCTCTCTGTGTGTGTGTGTCTCATGAATGCATAAATAAAATATTAAAAAAAATAAAAGTTGTTTCTGAGAAAATGTTAAGAGGTATTTGAATATGTTACACAGCATAGAAATACTAGAAAAATTTCCCTCAAAAACAGGAACCAGACAAACTTATCCACATAAGATACCAGAGGCCATTGTGCATATAATTAGACTTGAGAAAATAATTTGCTTAAAAATGGAAAAGGAGAAAGTAAATGTTTTATGGCTTTGTAGATTATTTCCATATTTGAAAAGTGATTAATATATTGGTATGTAACTTGAAAACTGAGAGAATTCATCACAATGGATGATTTAGAAATTATTTTATGTTAACCAACAACCTCTCTCTTCATATACATATATTTTTATCAACTAAAAAGTATAATGTGGAAAAAAATCACAATTCCTTAGTCTTAGATGGTCTGTTTAAAAAATATAACCTCCATTGGACTTGAAAAAACTGAATTACATTTTCACTATTTGATGAGTTTCCAAAATCTCTTTTACCTAGTGGTAGTTGATAGGTCTAAGCAAGCATTTTGCAAGAGCTTAAAAGTTTATCTTGTGATTCTGTTGTGCCCCATGCTTGTCTTGTATCTTACAAATTAATGTAAGACAGCCCACTGAAGTGGGGGGAATCTGCAAGAGGAGAATGGTGAAGGTCAGGAGATTCTAGAGGCAAGCTTCAGGCTTTGTGGCCAGGAGGTGTGGACTCCGTCTTAGCTCCGCCCTCTAGTGGCTGTGTGAACAAGACAGCCCACTTAACTTCCCAAGATGGTTAAACCTAGACCATGACACACACTTATTTTTTATAATTACAGATAGTATGTGTAAGCTTGCCATACATAACAGATACAATAATTGGTCATTGGTAACATGTCTTGGCTAGCAGAATATTAGTAGGGGTCAGTATGCGATATCACTTACAGGAGTCTTCTAAAATCTTATACTTACATATAATGTTACAAAGAGATATCATCATGCTGAAAACACAGCAGCTCTATGGGATTGCTGGTCAGTGAAGGGGGTGCTTTCATGCTTCCAGTGATGACAGAAAAAGAAATTGAACAGACTTTTCTTCTGAAAACTGGAAATATTGGACAAAATATTGGTAGAAGTCTATTTAAGTGAAGAACTATTGAAGCCAGGTTAGGGAGGGGAGAGGCTCTGGGTGAGAGGCCTGGCTCTGAAACCGCTGGTCCTGCGGGGCATTTGCCAAGGCCGGACAGGGAAGCCCAAGGGCCGGTGCTTCAGGAAGTCTGGTGGGGCAGGGAGGCACGGATTGGAATTTGCTGTGCTTTGTGTGGAAATTTTTTAAATATGGCTGCCAATTATTTGATATTGAGACCTCCATTTGGAGGTGGAGACAGTGCTGCCTCCTCTTACAAGTTTGCTAGGCACTGGGACCTGATGAAACTGTCATCTGAAATTAGTTGAAAAAGACATTGCAGATTAGCTATCTTACTTACACTTACTTTTGAAGCAGAAGCCGCCATGTAAAATTTTTGACCACCCTGTGGGCGTCATGCCCTGCAGTGGTCCAGGCCACACTGACAGGTTGTATGTGTATTGTAGCTGAGAGTACCAGCAAAGGTCCCAACCTCTAGCCAGCACCAGCCATCATGCATGCGTGAATATGCCCCCACATGACCCATCCAAGAGATTCAGGAATTCAAAGAGAAGTCACTGCTCTTTCTGTGAGTAGGTAACTAATAAATCCATAGGGATGCCTAGGTGGCTCAGTGGTTGAGCACCTGCCTTTGGATCAGGTCATGGTCCTGGGGTCCTAAGATCAAGTCCCGTATCTGGCTCCCCACAGGGAGCCTGCTTCTCCCTCTGCCTCTCTCTCTGTGTCTCTCATGAATAAATAAAATCTTAAAAAAAAAAAAAGAAATCGATAAATGAAGGAGAAAATGTACTAGATTATTTTCATTCTTTTAAGTCCAGCTACTTTTTATGTTTCACTCCACTGCATATAAACTGATTTTGTCTATTGAAAGCTATTAAATGATTTAATACTTGGAAATTTTTATTTAAAAGGCAAGCATAAAGGACTGTGTTAACTATTTTAATCTATACACAGGGGCCATGACATACCATAAAATGAGAACATGGAAGCATTGCCCACTGCATGAAACCTTAGAAAATCATGAAGTGTGAAAAGAATTGATCAGATCTGGGGAGGTTTTCTTTCTTTCTTTTTTTTCAAATCCAATTTGTATCGGTAATGGAAAAGTTCACAGAAATAAAGGGCAATCAAAACAAATGGTAGATAACCAACCTGATACCTTGTGGAACCCGCAATAGAGCAGCAGAACAGCAACTATAAAGCCGAGGCCACCACACAGTGCTCCGAGAACTCTGGCTGTGATGCGGTCTCTTCTGTAGCCTCTGGTCCCTGAGGGAAGACACAGGTGCATCAGTCTCAGAGGGTCAAGACTTGGTTCCTGGATCCTTGTCAAACACTCTGCAGGAATGGTTAATATAAATTCTCACAATGTTATCCAAGTATAATGTGTACTTTCCAGGTTTGTGTGGAGAAAAGAGAAGCGGCCAGACACTCATCTTCTTCTCCAATCTCCCACACAGAGTAGACATCCCTTGGACCTCCACCTACCTTCCAAAACCCCAATATGGTACCAATGAAGACTGCTGGGGCAGAGCCATTGGTCATAATGCTCCTGTAACCAGGGACCATCAACCCACCTGAGATGGAGAGTGTTACCGCCTCACTGTGCTGGGCTCCCAAGCCATTGTCAGCCTCACAGGAGTAGTTCCCAGAATGTTCCATGGTCAGAGAGAGGTTGAAGGATGCTCCTCCTCCAAAGGGGGCCAAGCTGTTTTGTAGGGTTATATTCTCATGATAAAACCGGTACATAATTGGGGGAGAGCCTCTGTGGGCCTCACAGCGAAGCTCTACCACGTCCCCCACCATGGCCTGGGCCCCGGGCACCCTGAGGATGAAGACAGGGCGGGATGCTGGACCTGAGGAAGACAGGGGGCCAGCGGAGAGGGTTTGTGAGGCCATCGTAGACACACAGAGCCCCGGACTAGGACCTCGCAAAGGGCCTCACCCCTTGGTCATTGTGTATCTCTAAGATTCTCAACAGCCTCTTTAGAAATTAGGAGGAATATCACTTCTGGGGTACTGTCTAAAGACATGGTTATTTGTCATTGTCAGCTTGTGTTTTCCTAATGCCAAGTCCAGCCCCCTTTCTAGTCTTTTCCATGGAAACAAAGACATCTACAGTTTAACGTGCAAGGGTAACCCACTCTTCAGTTGCTGTTGGTATTCCACAGCACTGACCCCTGGCATGGGCCTCTGGTACCATGGCCTTGGCTCTAGGGTTTCTGTCTTGGACGAGTCAGAGTGCAACTCACTTCTCACACAGATACTCAGCACCTTGCTCTGGATGGGGTCATGGCCGTTGTCAGCTCTGCAGTAATAGCGGCCGGCATCGCTCTCCTGCACAGCTGGGACCTCCATCTCTGCTGACAGGGAACGCTGGGTCTTCCTTCCCACACTGGTTCCTGTGTCCTCTCTGTGCCAGGAGAATGTGATATTTCCTGTGCCTTCTGCCACCGAGCAGAGGAGCACCAGACTCTCTCCTTCGATCACCATGCCCTTGGGGGCCCAGATGTCTAAGCTTACATTAGAGACAGGCACTCCTGGAGGGACAGACGATGACAGGTCAGAAGCTGACTGCAGAGGACTCTGAGACCAGCCCATGATTGGCTTCACTGAGAATATGGGTAGGGCTCATGTAATCCATTATAAGCACACAAAGTAGGGAATCTGCGGCGATTACTCTTGAAGAATGTGGACACAGATACTGTGTCCCAACCTCCTCCCCATCACCCCTATTTTCATGGAACCACTAAAGAATGTGTGAAACATTTTCCTGAGGGAGGAGTCGCTGTGCACAGTAGTGCCATCTGCACAGTGTGAAGGGGTCACTGGTAGCATCAGTCCTACCTCAGAAAAGGCACTGCTTCCACTAACAATATCAATAAAGATTCCTCCATTATTCTCAATGTCAAGGGTCCACAAGAATTACAACCCCTCCTCCAGCCACTTGGTTCACTCAGATTTCTGCTTTCTCTGTTGCTTCATTTATTTCCGCATGCTGGAGCACTGTGGTGCCTTTTAAGAAACCAACTTGTGTTTCAAGGCAGCACACGAGGCCACCTGTGGAGCCACTGAAGAGCAGGTGCCTTGCTGTGAAAAGTCCCAGCCCATTCCTAAACACCACAGCATGAAGTGATCAGTGAAGATATGATTGATGGATTTTACTTGAATAAAGAAGACAGGATTATAAGGAGTGTTTAAAAAAGAAGAAAGGCCAAAATTAAGTATTTGTCTCCCATAGACAGCAAACCAAGGCTTAATTACAGTTTCAGCCTATCCCTGGAATGTGACCTTCTGAAAGTCAATCTGACCCACACTAGTGAGGTCATCCGCATGATAAAACAAAAAACAAACAAACAAAAACCTTGCAGTTTCCTTTTCCTCTCCAAAGATGTCCAGACCTGTAGAAATCCTCTCTTTTATTTAGCTAATAATCTCCTTTGCCTCACTCGTGCCTATAAAAACTTCCATTAAATAAATTTATTATGTATAAAAAAAAAGTTAAGTAAATTAGTTTGGTGTTTAATAGAGTGGTCAGAGATAGAGATAAAACCTCAGATGTCATTGATATGTGGGTGGTATTTAAGGCCAAGGGGCATGGTGAGATGGACTGGCTAGGAGGAAAATGTACTGAAGGGATGAGAGCTTAGGTCAGACTTGAACACTCCAGAAGAAAGTGAACAGAGAAGAGAGAGAGAGCAGTAGAGGGACCTAGGAGGAGTGGCCATAAGGCAGGAGAAAACCAGGAGAGTCAAGAGAGGGGAATGTCTAACTGTGAGAGAGCACCGGTCTGCCAAGAGGTTGAATAAGATGGTAAGGGAGAGGTGACAATTGGCTTTGCTGCAAGGAGGTTCTAGTGTGTTTGACAAGAACAGTCTCAGTGAGTGGTGGAATAGAAGATGAAGTGAAATTGATTGAGGAGCTAATGAGAGGCAAAGAAATAGAAGTGGAAAAAAAATAGTTCATTTGAGAAGTTTTGTTGGGAAAGGAGTGGAGAAATGGAATACTAGCTATGGAAGAACAAGCGGTGAGGGAGCAATTTGTTATTCTGTTGGTTGGTTAGTTTTTAAAACAATAGACAACAGAGCATGCTTTTGGAAGACAAAGCTATTTTAAGGTGCTGTTTTATTGTTACTAGTGATAGAAATTCGTCCCAAGTTTATAAAACTGTGGATATTCAGGATTAAATCGCTAAATAAATACAAATGATTCACTTGCAGAAAAGTGACCTCTGGGGCATTGCCCAACATTCTTACTTCCAATTTAAGTGTATCTCTGTGCATCAGCCCTGAAGTTTGAGCAATGCAGGTTTAAGACTTTTGAGTTGCAGCCATTAGAAATGACAAATACCCACCATTTGCTTCAACGTGGATGGAACTGGAGTGTATTATGCTGAGTGAAGTAAGTCAGTCAGAGAAGGACAAACATTATATGGTCTCATTCATTTGGGGAATATAAATAATAGTGAAAGGGAATATAAGGGCAGGGAGAAGAAGTGTGTGGGAAATATCAGAAAGGGAGACAGAACATAAAGACTCCTAACTCTGGGAAACGAACTAGGGGTGGTGGAAGGGGAGAAGGACGGGGGGTGGGGTGAATGGGTGATGGGCACTGAGGGGGGCACTTGATGGGATGACCACTGGGTGTTATTCTGTATGTTGGCAAATTGAACACCAATAAAAAATAAATTTACTATTAAAAAAAACTTCCATTTCCTACAACTCCTCTGGGCATCTCTCTGCTTGCTAGTTGGGATCCTGCCAATTCATGAAGGCTTGATAAAGTCAATTCCATCTTCACATTTGCTCCATTGGGTTCTGTTTTTTAACAGTAGCTTTGTTCATTTGCTATTTTTATGAACTGCCCATTCCCTAGCTCACGACCCACTTTCCACAAGGATAGGAATTACACAAGTACCCCAAAGACAAGTAGCCCGAAGTGAAGCTGCCAGACTCTTGATTTGCCCATACTCAGACCCACTGATACTTACTCTGCACCTGAATCTGGGATTGGAGGCTCTGTTTTGTGACCCTTGGAGTCACTGTCTCTGCCTGACACCAGTAGGACCCTGAATCCTCCTTCCACACAGCAGGGAGCTGGAGCTCTGGGGAGCTGCTCCAGCTGGACGCCAGGGCCCTGCCACCTCTGAAGAAGCGATATCGGAGCTGAGCATTTGACCTCTGTGGAGAAGGCTGGGTCTCACAGGTCAGGGTCACTGGGCTCCCCTCTGTGGGCCAGAAGGAGCTGACGGTGAGCACGGGATATGGAAATAGCTCTAGAAGGAAGGATCACAAGTGCCCCAAGCAGTGAGATTGATGGTTTCTGCTGAAAAGCAACCCCAGCAAACAAGGCATTCAGACAGACTTGTCACCCATCACGACCCCCTCCTGCAGTCAAACTACAGGACTCTGGTTCATATCTGGTGTGGGGGCAGGTTTCCCCTCCAGGGACCCACCCTGCTCTGCTACAGTCTCCTCCAGCCTGGCTCCCACAGGAGGGAAGGCTTTACCTTGGACTTGAATCTTGATGCTATTTGAATTTTTTGACTTGTTCCATAAGTATATTTTACCAGTAGCACTACAGGAATAGCTGCCACTGTCACTTAGAACTGCACTTGGGATAGAAAAGTTGAAGACTTCATTTGAAAAATGTAACTTTTTTCCATCCTTGTAATATGCCATAGTCTGGATTTTCCACTTGTCTATTTTCTTCTGGCATATCAGGTCTATGCGGTCTCCTTCAAAGACAGCAGAAGGAGCCCTGAGAGTCAGCCAGTCTGCAAGAGAGGGCATGAGGGGACTGGATTTGCCATTTCCGCGAGGAATCCAGATGTCTGGCCTTTCCCTGAGCTTTTCTGAGCTCTTGGGCAGAGCAGCCCCTTCACCTTCAGGCAAGACAGACACCCCTATTCATGCCTCACCTTCTCGGGGCTACGTCCTCTTTTTTCCTGAGGGGTATCTGAGTCAGCATGGGCTGCTATAACAAAATACCATAAGCTGCGTGTCTTATCAACAACAGACATTTATTTTTCATGGTTCTGGGGGCTGACAGTCTAAGATCAAGGTGCTGGCAGGGTCAGGTTCTGGGGAGGCTGCTCTCTCAGGTTATAGACTTGCTGACTTCTTGTGTATTTTCAACTGTGAGCTCTCTGGCCTCTTTTTCTAAGGGTGCTAATCCCATCATGAGGACCTCCAGGACTGTATCACCTCCCAAGAGCCCCACCCCCAGATAACATCCTCTTGGGATTAGGATTTCAACATACGAGTTTGGGTGTGAGACTCAACATTCAATCAATGGCAGGGAAGGTCAAAGTAGTCTGAATTTTTTACACAGATATAGGTGCAGGAGTGTCCTGCCAAAGGTCTTCATGCTTAGCTCTCTCTGTTGGTGACGTCACACGGAGGACCATCGTCGTCAGGGGACATTTTGCTTACCCACCACCATGCTTTCTTTTATCCAGCCTTCAAAGGCACTACACTGTGTTCTCAATCCATGTTCTGCCCCTTTTTCTTGCCTCACCAGAGGAAATGGCCAAGGGGCCTAGATAGCCAGGGAATAAAGTGGTTACTGAAATAAGATCCAGTATCTCAATCCTCAGAACTTTCCACTTGACTATTTTCCAAACACTTCCCATCCATTCCATGTGTAATAAGGTCTTAGGGGACTGACTGTAGTGAGAAAAGTCATTGCCAAAAATAAATGTGCTCCCCTGGGACTGCTCCTCTCAGATTCTACCCTGTGACTCCACTTATTTATGGTACCAGACCACCTTCTGGGTTTGGGACATTTGTATTACCTTTTAGGGTTGTAGTTGAAGGTTTTGACCTTGAGGTGAGGAACTAAGTTATATCTCAAACAGCAATCTCCCTGCCACTGTTCATTGGTGGCACGGCTGCCAGAATTTGGATGTGTAATGTAGGGAAGTAGAGGTCACCCCAATAAGAGATGAAGGGGCGCATCAAATACCTCAGCAGAACCAAAGCTGAAATGCCTCAGAAAACTCATGAAATTTAGAACCATAATTTTTGGAACACATGCTACCTACTGTTCCAGGTGGGGAATCAAATTTACCTGTTGGACATTGGGGGAAACAATCTGGGTTATGAAAAACGAAATCAGAAGGGCAGGAAAGGTGGGTTGTAGAAACAATTAACTTAATTCGAGGTTTTCATCCTCCTTCACTGATGGAGAGACCAGATCTCACCGGGACTTGGCTGTGGGACTTAAAATCAAGCTGATTTTTAAACCACTAGTACAGTCTTCATCCAGAAACTAGAAGGATTCCCAGGGAGAACACTGTCAGGGTAGGGGGCAAACATTCTGTGTCATGGTTAGAGATGCCACTGAAAAGTCACACGGTAGGCAATCTCACGGACTTGGGGCTGCAGCTGACAAGGTGAGCCTGTGAGTCCATTGCTAAGGATTGTTCACGGCAGAGCGCAAATGCAACAGATGAGGCCTGCTCCTGAGCACACTCTGTGCCAGAGCTCCTGTAGGTGTCCCTGGCATCCCTGTTCCCTTAAGGTCTGGCCATAATAGGTGAGGTAGGGTTCTGTTCTCCCAGGACAGTGCTTTGGAGCCCTAAGGGCCCCTTCTACTTGGCAGTTGGTGCTGGCGAGGCACAGGAGCAATCCTCCATCTCTCTAGATTCAGTCCAGGCTCGTGTACATACAGCAATAAAGTCTTGCTTTCTATACATTGGTGAGCACAGCTTTAAGTCCAGAAGAGCAAGGTGAGATTAGTTGTAGTCACACAACCATAGGAAGGTAGCATACGTGTGTGGGCACACAGAATTTGGCAGTGCTCTAGAGCCAGGGGCGGACCAGGGTCTGGTTGCTGCCCGGATACCTATTTGGGGAATGGAAGTGTGGCCAACAGCAGCTGTCCAGCTCAAGGGCGGCTCAGTGCTTACAACAGATGCCTGCAGAGTTGCTCTCTGACTTCGCAGGACAATGTGTCCACTCCCCACCCAGAGCCAGAGCAGCAGTGTTGGTTCAACACCATCCCGACCGTGCAGACACTCTTGACTGTTTTCCTGAGAGAACAACTGTTTTCAGAGCTGTGGGGACACTCAGCCCGACCTGGTGGAGGGTTATGGTCCCATGGCCCAGAGAACCATCCTCCCCCATGAGCTGTCTAGCCTGCACACCCTCTTCCAGATGCCACTCCCTCTATGGCTGGGGCTGTGTGATTGGGTGGTGGACTCCACCTGGGCAGGCCAGGCAGGCCTTCTCACCCATCACCAAGCCAAGCGGACTGGCCCTGCGGCAGGTTAGCCCAGGGGAGCAACGACATTGGAACATCTCTGTGGCCTCTCCTCGTCCCTCTCTACAGGACCTCATGGATGCCAGGTGACAGACAAACCAGACCCCAGGAAGGACAAGAATGCAAGTGACTCACCTGCCTCTTCACTGGCGGTAGCTGTGAGGGGATCAAAAACCAGAGGTTAGTGCAGAGAATTTGCCTTCAAAATTCAGACATTTCTATTACTCTGCTAAACTGCCCCCAAATTCCCCATCACCCCTTTTTCTGTTCTACTCCATTATCACCAGCAATGCAATCTCCCTCAAACACCAACTGACCCCTACTCATGTTACAATCACAAGGCAAGTGCAAACATCTCCTTTGACCAAAGGGAGCACCTGGGGGACTTCCCACAGATGGATGCCAGATGTTCAGTGATTCTCAATTCTTTGTCCTTCCCCTCCCCCCACCAATCTCCTGCATACCCAGTGTGTTGACTACATGATATCCCAAGTCACCAAGAGTCCATCAGGAAACACCCAGAGTTTGTAGTGTAACCCTGACAGTTGGGATTTTTCTCAGCCAGACTTTGTGCCTAACTTAAGCTTTGATGCTAAGGCATCCACTTCGAAGACTGTGATCACAACACACTGAAGTCATCAGACTAAATGAAGAGCCAGGCCACCTCCCCACTCTGAGGCTTTCGTTTTAGAAATCTTGGTTGATTTCCATAACTGACCATGTGGGCCACTTGATTTATTCTCTTCCCAACTTTAAATTCCCACTCATTTGTTTGAATTCACCAATAAAGTGCAAGCCCATGAAACTGTGGGCTCCCAGCCTCCACCCCAATAAGAGCAGAACCCCAGACCCATGTTGTCTCTCTCCCCACAACTTCTTTGTGTGATCCCAGGGGTGCTGTGTAGTTCCAGGTTCTGTAAGTAATAAAACTTTAGTATTCCAAAGTTTCTTGACCATTATTACTGAAGGGGGTTTTGCAGTCATGATAAGAACCAGGAGGGCTGATCCAGCCACAACCTTGCTTATTGATAGGCTGAGACGGGCACACACAGTTTTGAAAACTGAAGGCATCTAGAATGGATTCCTTTTCTCTGGCTGTATTTTATGTGAAGGTTCTTTTACTCATTAACAAATGTTGGCTTAGTTCCTCCTGAATGTAGAGAAAGGAATCTCATTTCCCTATAGCAGCCTGCCTGTCCAGGTAGCCCTCGGCTCAACAGAGGGGCCTGAGCAAAGGGTATGCATGTGTCTCCAAACTCCAACTTGGAGATAACTGTCCAAACAGTTCTCATAGAGAAGTAGTAAATGTGGAAATAATTAAAACTGTATTTATGAGAATTCATTACTGTATGAATTACCTAAGATAATTCACGAATGGTAATTCGTGAAACTCATAACCCACGAACAGTAAAGTAGCCGACCTTGAACATTAAGGACAAGGATGCATTGCAGTCTGACTTGCCCAGGGCCCACTGCTGTGCATCTGACTCTGCTCTCTAAGCTGGAAGCAGAACCTGGGCATGCCTACTGGTCTCCGGGCTCTGATAAACCCTCAGGGCTTTCTGGAGCTGGAGACTTCCGCTGGTACCACCTCAGTTCTACCTCAAATTATTGGACTTACCAAAGATGACCAGCAATGACCACAACAACAGCATGAGGACCTGGTTCAGCTACCCGAGAAGAAATGTTCCCTCAGTCACCAGCTGGAGTCTGTGTGCAGGGAATGGAAACTGCTTTTCAAAGTTAGTTTTGAGCAATTAGCGAAAAAAAGGAAGTGGAAGGGTTTATCAACGTCTGAACACTGTCTTCTTCTCTGTAGGAGCTATGAGAATGAAGATGGTCCTCTAGATGCCAAAGAAACTCCTCCTCTTGACACTGATGACAGTTAACACTGACACACCGCTGTTCATGAGTTGGACACAGTTCTAAGCGCCTTATGCTCACAGGGTTATTTGATGTCCTGAGGAAGCTTCTGGAATCTGCACAATCTCCTTTACACAGTTAGAGAAACAGGCAGCAGGAAAGATAAGTAATGGACCAAGATCAGCATGGTCACTTTCCAGTAGTGACAGCTGGGAGTCAAACCCAGGCAGCCCTGTCTTACAGTCTGACTCAAATGCTAGCAGATCTTACCATGATATATAATGCTTCTCACCGTTCCTTAGGATAGCAGGGCCATTGGTGTAACTGCTCAGAGTCCCCGGGTGACCCTTTCTTCAGCCCATATCTAGCCATCTAGAACTGCTAATGTTGCTAACATTCAAAACGTGTGCTCTGTGTCATTGAAAACATTGTTCTCTTCTTTATTTCTAATCCATGTTGCTTTTTTTTTATAAATTAATTTTTATTGGTGTTCAATTTACCAACATACAGAATAACACCCAGTGCTCATCCCGTCAAGTGTCCCCCTCCGTGCCTGTCACTCATTCACCCCCACCCCCCGCCCTCCTCCCCTTCCACCACCCCTAGTTCATTTCCCAGAGTTAGGAGTCTTTATGTTCTGTGTCCCTTTCTGATATCTCCCACACATTTCTTCTCCCTTCCCTTATATTCCCCTTCACTATTATTCATATTCCCCAAATGAATGAGAACATACACTGTTTGTCCTTCTCCGATTGACTTACTTCACTCAGCATAATACCCTCCAGTTCCATCCACGTTGAAGCAAATGGTGGGTATTTGTTGTTTCTAACGGCTGAGTAATATTCCATTGTATACATAAACCACATCTTCTTTATCCATTCATCTTTCGATGGGCACCGAGGCTCCTTCCACAGTTTGGCTATCGTGGACATGGCTGCTAGAAACATCGGGGTGCAGGTGTCCCGGCGTTTCATTGCATCTGAATCTTCGGGGTAAATCCCTAACAGTGCAATTGCTGGGTCGTAGGGCAGGTCTATTTTTAATTCTTTGAGGAACCTCCACACAGTTTTCCAGAGTGGCTGCACCAGTTCACATTCCCACCAACAGTGCAAGAGGGTTCCCTTTTCTCCACATCCTCTCCAACATTTGTTGTTTCCTGCCTTATTAATTTTCCCCATTCTCACTGGTGTGAGGTGGTATCTCATTGTGGTTTTGATTTGTATTTCCCTGATGGCAAGTGATGCAGAGCATTCACTAATCCATGTTGCTTTTTGGACAGTGCGCCGCTCCCAATGTGGCCACACCTTCCAGAGCACACATCCCCAAAGCCTATTATCACCCTGTTCTGATTAGATGTGGTCCCCTAGGTGTCCTATGTAACAGTCCACTCAGGGGCAGGCTAAACAGGCAGATACAGGTTGCCTTTGTGGACTTAGGCAGCATGGAACTTTAAATCCTAAAATCATAGATATTTGTAATATGGGGACTGACTCATACTGAATTGAATCATAGACTCAGTGGCATGTGTTCAGGGCAATACTTAATATTGTCACTCACCATAAACATAATTTTCCTGTAGGAAGTGCTGATGTATGTATGTGATGTCGTACATCCTATCATCAAAGCCTTGCTTAAAGGCGTGTAAAAAGAAAGTGCTAAGAATACCCCAAAAGAGCAGTTTAAAAAAATAAATTATATGTTAAAGTGTACTACTACCAAGCAGCCATTAAAGTGGTTAGAACATTTAATGGCAATAAAAATTGCTCATGCCCTTTTTTAAGGAAAAAGGGGTTGCTGAATACAATTTATCTGCTGTACACCATCCTCTCCACTGATTGCCCAATAAAAAAAATAATTGTGTGGAACAATAAACACCAAAGTGTTAGTGTGACTGTATTTCACTAGTGTAATTAAAGGTGGTTTTTAATTTCCTCATTTTGCTCATTATTGTGTTCTAGCTTTCTTACAATAAATACATGCTATTTATATGTTTCTAAAAGATTCATTAAAGGGTAGCCCCGGTGGCCCAGCAGTTTAGCGCCACCTTCAGCCCAGGGCGTGATCCTGGAGACCTGGGATTGAGTCCGGCGTTGGGCTCCCTGCGTGGAGCCTGCTTCTCCCTCTGCCTGTGTCTCTCTGTGCCCCCACCCCCGTTCTCGGTGTGTGTGTGTGTCTTTTATGAGTAAATAAATAAAATCTTTTAAAAAATAAAAATAAAAGATTCATAAAAAATAAGACCCAATTTTTTTGGATCTCTCTCATCTCAAAGTGTATCAAGCAATGCTATTTTACCTTTCTGCAGAGACAAATGGTTTATTTGTGTTTGGAAGAGGGTGAATGCTCCTCACCCTGGCACCAGAGCTGCTCACTGAGCTTCTTGTCAAGCCCTGCCTAGTTGGGACGGCACAGGACTCTGACAGACGACAGTGAATTAAGGAAGACGATACAGAAAAAGGCATATGCAAAAGGTGGAGGAAGAGCTGCTGATAGGTATTGGTTTTTCACAGAAATATTTATGGTTGCATTCTGTCCTGTATGGGCATGTGGGCTCTTGAGTTGAGAATTCATTTTTTTTCCCCTGGCATTACCAAATGGTAGAGGGTGTGCTTTGTGTGAAAGCGAGTGATGCAGGGGAAGAGAACTGAGTTGCTACAGTGGGGTAAGTGGGCCACTAGGGTGGCAGCATGTCCTTGAGGTGATGGTGTGTTCCACCTGAGTGCTTGCTCACATCTGACAGATGGCAGACATTTACATGTGGACAGACACAACCTGCAGGCCCATCTAAACTCAGACGCAAATGAGCGGCTGCAGCCAGATGTGAAGAGCTCAGTAGCTCATTGGAGGACAAAGTAGCTTCATGTTCAAGATTACAGTGGCGGAACTGAAACTGTAGGGTGGGGTGCGTTGGCCAAAGTGAGAGATACAAACACTCCTTGTACGGGGTTATTTGGCTACCAGCAAGATGGAGTCTTGGACACCAGAGTTTCCTATAGACACAAAAGCCTCTGGGGCCAACCAGGTAGACCCTTGACTTGGAGATCCTGCAGGTGGCAACAAAAGTGTTCTGTCAGGTACAGAGCAACAGTGTCCCTGTCAACTCTGTTCCATGTCTTGGAAGGAACACAAGGTGCAATGCCAACATGAGGTGCATCAGGACTGGACAGAGACAGAGTCTTGACAAACTACAGCTCAGAACAAAATAACTACCATCTCCCATTTGAGGATGTTGATTACCAGGATAGTCACAATAAGAAAATGAAACTGGTTAACCTCAGAGATCTCTGGATATATTTGGTTGAACTTGGGCCTGCAAGGCCAGGATGATAGAATTGAATATCATGATGTATGCATTCACTTCCTGCAGGAATTAATGCACACTTTGCTGTACACAGTGGACATGGTGATAACTCACCACCATCATCCTTGTGGGGGAGCAGTTACAGTAGTAATTTCAATTGTTACTATAATTATCTTGAACAACATGATACGTCTTTGTTGAATGGGGTTTGACCTAGAAATTTTATTTCCAGGGTAAGAGATACATTTTTTTGGAGGTGCTAATGTTTGTTGGAGCAGAGCTGGCTAGTGGGAATCTCAATGTTGTCTCTGCAGATGCTCTCCAAATGTTATTTAGGTAAACCCAGACCCTTCTGCCCAGAAGATTGTTTACAATGCAGTTCATTAATTCCTAGAATTCTGATGGGTCCTCCATAGTCCAGATAGCATGGTAGGGAATTTGGACCAAGAATGCCTGGAAACTATTGTCCATTTCCTCCCTGGTGTATATGAAAATGAAGGTGCTCCAGAGATCCAGTTGCTCCAAGAATTATCCATACATCTACTCCAGGCAATCTCAGAAGGACAAGAGCAAGTTTAGTTTCAGGTAGTGATTGTTTTCAGAAGACTGAAGTTTTACAGGTCTCAAATTTTTCTTCTCCATGAAGAGGATCATTTTTACAGTGTCAGTAGAAAGTGTCACAAACCCCTTTTGAAGAAAGCTTGCCATTCTTGTGATGGGGAATGGAGGTGAGCCCCATCTTGAAGTCTGAGGTTGGGGGGACCCCCGGGTGGCTCAGCGGTTTAGCGCTTGCCTTTGGCCCGGGGCGTAATCCTAGAGTCCTGGGATCGAGTCCCACATCAGGCTCCCTGCATGGAGCCTGCTTCTCCCTCTGCCTGTGTCTCTGCCTCTCTCTCTCTCTCTCTCTCTCTCTCTGTCTCTCATGAATAAATAAATAAAAATCTTAAAAAAAAAAAGTCTGAGGTGGGGAGGGGCACAGGGGCACTTAGTGAGGCTCTGAGTAGATATCTGAGCAGCATGTGCAACAGGGAGCAGACCTCCCTGGGTCTGTGAGGATACCTCCTGCCAAGCTGCCCGGACTCCCTGGGGGTGGCAGGCATGAAGGGGCCCCTGGGGGGGATCAAAGACAATTCAATCTGAAGCTCTCTGTTTTCTGTTCTAATTGTATATGTGTGATCTGGGTAGAGGGGACATTTGGGGGCATTTAGCACACTCACCCTTAGCAGAGCCACCCACAGCTGTTTCCTTGGGTGTCTTCCCAGCAGTAAATATCGGCTGTTGGTGGTAGAAGATGATCAAGAACCAAGATCCAGGGCAGTCCGGGTGGCTCAGCGGTTTAGTGCCGCCTTCAGCCCAGGGTGTGATCCTGGAGATCTGGGATCGAGTCACATGTCAGGCTCCCTGCATGGAGCCTGCTTCTCCCTCTGCCTGTGTCTCTGCCTCTCTCTCTGTGTGTGTGTGTCTCTCATGAATAAATAAATAAAATCTTAAAAAAAAAAAAAAAGAACCAAGATCCAGATTGTACTTGTGGCTTTTGGTCTTGATTCCCCTTCCAGGGATTTGCTTATTCTTCTCACATACTCTGCTAACCACTCCTTCCGAGGTCAGGAGGTGGTGATTCACCCGTCAGAGGAAACCTGCATTCATTCAGTCAGTGATGGATAAATAGTGCATAATTTTTTAAATGCATACTTAAACAGGTAAAAAAAAAAAAGGAAATTCCTCCATTACAGATAGGAGAAAAAAGGAAGTGGAAACAGAGTATTACACATGTATGTAAATTGACACTACTGATGCCCAGAGGAGGAAACTATCACAGTGGATACTTTTTGTGAGCTTAGCATTTAGTCCGTGTGAAACTAGGAAGGCAAAACCCTCCATCTATAAGAGGGAGAAGCCTGAAACCAAAACACATAAAGTCTGGACCACCAGCAGGCTTTCCTTGTAATAAAAGAGTGGCTTAGTGGGAAAAAGATTCACCCACCACCAGAGATGACAAGCAACCTTGTCTTTCTACGAGTTCTGGGGGAAATAGTTTCCCCTGAGACATCAAAACCCCAGAACTGTGCCACTCCCATGGGTGAGATAAAGAATTGTCATAAAAAGTGGTCCCAAGTTAGAAACGCCCCCGGGGCTTAGAAGCAGCACTTACAAAATGGCTTTTGAGGGATAATCAGAAGCACAGATCATGTGCAGCTCCTACTGTACAAAGGAAGTGTCTCCATCAACAATCACAAAACCCACCAAATTATGATGAACAAGATTCAAAACGTGATTAATGCAGGTTTAAGTACCTAAACCTTCAGGAAGAAGAGCTACCTAGGAATTACAATAAATTTAATGTATTTAAGCCATTTTAAGGTGGTTAAAATAATAAAATAAAGTATTACACCCATAACAGCAAACAAAAAGAGAAATTTGAAAAGGAATAACAATAATTTTTTGAGCATTTAATGTGTGCTGTGTGTACCTCGAAGCATTTTTTTTCGATGTTCTAAATCTTTTTAAAAATTTTATTTACATTTGGGACGCCTGGGTGGCTCAGCGGTTGAGCATCTGCCTTTGGCTCGGGGCGTCCGGGGATCGAGTCCCATATGGGGCTCCATGCATGGAGCCTGCCTGCTTCTCCTGTCTCTCTCTCTCTCTGCCTCTCTCTGTGTCTCTCATGAATAAGTAAATAAAATCTTTTTAAAAATAAAGTAAAATTTTATTTACATTCAATTAACATATAGTGTATTGTTAGTTTCAGAGGTAGAGTTTGGTGATTCATCAGTTGACCTTGAAGCATTTTAAACAAATGATTTTACATAATGAGCAAGACAGTGTTGTATATTAATTAACAATTGTTATCCCAGTTTTAAGCATGAAGAAATACACAGAGATTAACTAATTTGACCAATTACAGTGCTAGTAAGTAAATGGTGGAATGCACCTGTAAATCCAGAAAGAGTTCAACCTTCTAGTCCCTGGGGGCTCCCACTTCATTCCTGGAGCCCTCTCTAAGGTCCAAATACTTAGCAGTGTCAGATAAAATGTAAAATATAAAAACCTACATGTGTCCTAAAAAAAGAAAAAGTTAAACATTTCCATTGGCCAGAAATAGAAATGCAAGTGAGAAATGCAGCTGAGGAGATGAGAGCCAGCGAGGGTGCCAGAGAATGACACTCATGGCACAGGCAAAAGTGGGTGCAGAGGTCCTGAGCTGGTACGACTTGACGGGGGGTGTGCATGAAGAACACTGGGGACCACACAGTTGGAGCCAATCCTGCAATGGGCAAAGTCATCCTTGAAAGAAGTTCAAAGGGTGTTAGTGTTAAGCAGAAGTACTGAACAGGACGTTCATGTCAGATGTGTATTATCTGAGGAGATAAAGTAGCATGGAAATAAAAGAAAAAAGAACAGACGACTTAATAAAAAACAGTAGATTCTTTATATTTTTTGAAAAAATACTTATCTCTATCTCACATAATTTGTTTGATTCCAAAAAGTAAAGTCATAATATAAACATAATATAAAATGCCAAAACAGGAAAAATCAGATTCTTACCTCACACCAAACATACATATGATCCTGTGGATGTATATCAAAATTATGAAAGCATTCTAAGAAAATATAAGAACATTTTTATGACATTATCACATGGGAGGGAATGTGAGGGAAGTTTCTGGAATGATGGAGGAATTTTACATCGTGACAAGAGTTTGGGTTACCTGGGTGCATGTGTCTGTCAGACTGATGGAGCCAAGCACCTCAAATGTGTGCACCTCATTATATATAAATTATAAATAGTTCCTACAAAAGCTATAAGAAGAAGGCAAATGAACACTGAGAAAATGTGCAAGGGTCAGCACAGGAAATTTTAGGAAGAACTACAGATTAACAGCCAATTTTGGGGGGAAAATGTTCAACTGTGTTAGTCGTTTTAAATTTTTTAATTGAGGGGCACTTGAGTGGCTCCTTCAGTTAAGCATCTGCCTTCGGCTCAGGTCCTGATCTCAGAGTCCTGGAATAGAGCCCTCTGTCGGGCTCCTGCTCAGTGGGGAGTTTACTTCTCCCTCTCCCTCTGCCCCTCCCCCTGCTGGTGCTCTCTCTCTCTCTCTCTCTCTCTCTCTCTCTCTCTCTCTCTCTCTCAAATAAATAAAATCTTATAATAAAATAAAACAATTTAATTGCAGTAACAATGATACTTTGCTCTCACAGATTGATTCTCTCATGTATTGCTGGTTGATGTATTCACTGATAGAGGCTACCACAGAGCAGTTTAAGTGTATTTAACAAGAATGTCAAATGTTCACAACCTAAAATGTCCTAATCCCTGATTTACAAATTTATCCTTCAGATGGATTTGCAGGAACACAGAAAAATGTTTGTTCAATGACATTTATTTTAGTATTATTTTTATAATATAAAATTTTTGGAAATCACCTAACGTCCATCAGTGATTGAAAAGGTTAAAATATGTTACGATAATATTTAGTTAACAACACTGAGTTTTTAAACAATGGATACCACTTGCGGTATTAGATGTAGGAAAGGTTCTAACTTTTTACATCATAGACTTCTAAATTGTTTTAATTTGTAAGAGTTGGTGTATAATTCTTTTAAAAATATAGACTCCAAATTGTATTATCACATTTTTTTAAATTTGTAAGTAAGAGAAGAAAAATTATATTCATAAAACTTCTAGAGGTGCAACAAATACAGAATTTTGGATGTGGTAAAACGTAGAAAGATTGTGTTTCATTATAAATTTGGGGGCATCTAGAGTGACCTGTACATACAAATATGTCACTAAAATTGAATGTAGCCACAGTAACTATTTATGAAACTTTGTTTGAGTTCTAATGCACTGAGTCACATACTTTATGCAGAAACAGGATGAGTCCTGTAAGTCAGGGCTGGGGTTCTGTTCTGGGGTTGAGTACAGAGCTCGTCTGCCCTGGGCCGGGACAGCAGCCACCTCTGTGTGCAGCTAGCCTGCAGAATCACTAACCTTGCATCCATGCAGTCTGAGTGAGCTTCACTGTCCCTCCACCCCGAGGTCCCAAGTTCTTTCACCCACTCTGTTTCCTCTGATAAAAAGAAGTTAGAGCACAATTTGACGTGTGCTTAAAGAACCAGTTGGAATCAGGTTATGGTAACAAGGTCCTTCCCACTGCCATGTTCATGTTGGTTCTTTTGGGTGGTATCTTCAAGGGCTAGAACCACTTCCACTTCACAGTAGATGCAAGAATAGTCTCTGGAAGCAAAGCACCTGGGTGAGAAGTACCAGAGAGCTGACTACCCCAGGGTCTCTGAAGAACACATTGATTCTGAGGCTTGGAGTCATGCAAGTTTTCCAAAGAGCAGAATCTTCCAGAACTTTACATAGCATCTTCATAGTCTACATCTGTAACACTCGTATCGCTTGTATTCTTCAGCCTAAAGTAAATGGCTGAGGCATCCTAAAAGTAAAGGCACATGGATAGGACCAGAGCAGGGAAGACATATGGATCATGCTTCCATCTGGTTCTCTTCCCCAATCAGCCTGGATGCATCCTATGTGCACTCCACGCAGCACATAAAGTGGAGCCTCTTGGAAGACTGACCCTAGGTGAGCATTTTCAAAAGGCCTGTGTCCCCCTGGTGGGCTGCAGAGGTGCTCCTGATGAGCCATATGCTCAACCAAACATGCAAACTCCCGTTCTAATAGACCACTCTTAGGCAGTTCCACGGGTGGTTGTTTTTTTTTTTTAAGGATTTTGTACTCATAAACTACATTTAACATGTCACTAGAGTTTACCAAGGATACAAATTCTGTCCTGAGACATCTGGCTACACTACCACACTAGACAAACTTACAAAGCACCTACTGTTCTTGCACATATATGGAGCTGAATTTCCTGGAAGTATTTTTGTATTATCAGTGATGTGTTGAATTTTTCAAGGTTTACAAATTACTGAGTTGACACAAGCCACTATCAGTTTAGCTTTGTTCAATATTAATTTGGTTTTCCACAGATTGTGTGGTTAACCTCACAATACAAAGTGGTGTGTGTGTGGTTCAACATAATTTCAGGATAAAGATTTTCGAAGAATAGAATTTTTAGACCAGTCATGCACTAGAGTGTAACTACAAATCATCCATGTCTCCATGGCTAAAGGAAACACCTGTGCAAACCTCCACAGTTCCCTTGTACAGCAAGGCTTTACTGTAATGATTGAATGTTTCTCCCACTGTGTGGGGAGATAAGGGAAGAGATGGTCCACAGAGATCTTTTGTTTTTCCTAAGTGGCCATAGTTTTTAAAGTTTGAGAACCAGTTCCTAGAAGACAGAGAGAAGAGCAGGAACGAAAGTACAGGAAGGATTTTAACTCACCTGGTCCTCGGTATGTGTCCTCAGGGGATTTGCTGGGGAATAAAAGATGTGTCAGATGTCATTTATATTTAAAGTCCTTCACTAACCTCATGCTAATAAAGGCTTCTTCTCCTATCTGCAGGAGTGTCTGTTTGCTATTCCTCTTCGTTTATACATTATCTAATTAATTTAAATCCTTCGTAATTTAAAGTAATTTAAATCAATCACATTGATTTTCATCAATATTTTTAGTCTTGCTTTTCTGCCTATCACAAACATGATTTCTTCACTGTAAAGAAAATGATGGGCAGCCTAGGGGTGGGCAGGTGAGTAGGTTCCCTGGGCATTTACTCTCTTCACATTTCTGGACACACCGGGTATGGATAGAACAACAGCAGCAAGTGGGCAGCCGTGTGGGTGCCACAGAGAGTGCGGGCACGGAGCCACTCAGAGAGGACAGGTGGACACCGCCACCCCAGCTGCCACCTTGACAGTAGGCGCTGAGCTAGCACCTGCACTGGGCTCTCTACTCGGGGCCCCCAGACCCAAGGCCAGTGCTCAGAAAGGCAGAGCGGAGCCCAGAGCCAGCTCCAAAGCAGAGCAGCAGTGCCCAAGGACACTTCCTATATGTCATTCGCGGCCACTGATTTATCCTCTTTGCTCCAGGAAAGACAAAAGTCAGAGACAAATTCAGTCCCTCACATCTCACCTGCTGCTTGCCGCTCCTGCTGCGTATGGTACACCAAAGAGTAAATCTCGTCCCCGCTTACGACATTCACTGAAAAAGAAAGGAGGTGTGACACAGTCCTTTCTTCCTGCCACTTATGTCACTCAGTGCCAACCACATGTCACCACGAGGACAGATGTGCTGTCTGTTCACCAAGGTGACTGGGACACAGCAGGCACGGAGTGGGCCAGCAGACCTCACCCCCCTGTCCCTTCCTCAGCTCACTCTAGCTACTTGGGCCAGGCCATTTGGGAAACCTCACCATTTTCGTATACAGACTGTCCTTGCAGTGGGGCAGCTGAGTTGACGTAGTTGGAAGCTTGTGGCACAGGTCGGGGAGGGCTCCTGCAGACAGGGAAACACAGGCTAACTAGGTGGGACAGCATCCCAGACACCCCAGACATCACCGTCCAGGGCTGTGAGCAAGACATCGAAGCAGAGAAGCCTGTTAGCAAGGGTCCTGAGCAGAATAAGGACTTTTGGGGAAAAATCGGCAGTCAGCTCAGCTGCGTGGTACAAGCCCTGTACCTGGGCCGAGCAGGGCACAGCAGTCTCCTGGAGTGTAGAGCCCATGAGCGCAGGTCTTTACCTGATGGGCTCAGTGTGGCATTGCCCACACCTGGAATAGTGCCCCTCCCATCACAGGGGCTCAGTGAACATTGAACAATGAATATTAACTCCTCCCGATGGAGAACAGGCTGCTAGGCAGGACAGGCAGCTTGCGGAAAGGAGATAAGAAGGTGAACGTGGGGGTACGTGTACTCCTGGAAGACTACTCCAATTTGGGAAAATAATCTGATTTTTGTCAGCATAAACAACGACACAGCATAAAAATATGTCGACTAATCATTGATATTCCCAGGTGCAAGTGTTCTAAAAATCTTTTCCTTCTCTAAACTAAACAGCTTCACCAGCGAGTTTTCAGGATGGTTATCACTCTGGCCTGAGTGATAGAAAAACACACATATCTTCACGCCTCTGAGACGCTTTCAGGATCTCGGGATCCTGTTCTCCTACCTCATCAGAATGACTCATAGGCCCTCAGATATTGGTCAGTTGATTGAAGAATCAATTCATTGGTGAATGTGTGAAATGGTCAAAGTAGTTCAATGAAGGAGGTAAATTAGGAAGAATGACAGAAGAAGGATTTAAATTAATTAATGCATAAACGAAGAGGAATGACAAATGGACACTCAGTTGCCAGTGAGAGAACTGTGGAGTGGAAGGTGGGATAATAAAATATGCAACAAACACATGAGAGGGGACAACACAAAGCTGTTAAGATAGGTTTTTCTGCATTATCGGTGCACACAGAGGGAGCAGAGCCTCACCTGGGCAGGTCCCTGGCCGGACGTCTTCTTCCTACAAGTCAAGCAGATGAGCAAACATGTCAAAAGGGGGAATCTGATTGTCATTGTTGGCAGATGGCCCTCGTGTGGGGACTGCTCCTTGGGCCAGGGTGCCAGCATGTACCAGAGAGCGTGCTGGCGATCATTTACGCAGATCCTTCACTTTGCAGGCGAGGAGACTCAGTGCAGGATGGTTAGTCGAGCTTCCCAGACAGCTCATACCAGAGCGAGGACCTGAGCCCAAGTCTCTGAAGCTGAACACCTATTGCACTTTTTGCTTTTGGCTTTAATAACACACTACCTACTCTTGTCACAACAGGGGTCCTCAGAAGCAGACACTGCCACGGCCATGTTACAGATGGGGTGAGGTGCCCCCAGGTGCCAGACAAGCTTGGAATTTAAATGAGGATCTCACACCGTCTTCATCTTGCTCAGTGGAGAACAGGAGTCCAACATTAAATGCACCAATAAATATGTAATTACCAATTGTAATTAGTAATAGCCAGGTGAAGCTAAATAACTTGGTGCTCTGATGAGGAGTAGAATGAGAGCATTGTAGGCTGTGTGGCTGGGTGAAGCCTCTCAGGGAAAAAGACATTTAAGATGAAAAGCAGGAGAGACCCCGCAGCCAGCAGGATGTAAGGATACATGGACGAGCATTCCAGAAGGGGGAAAAGTACATCATGATGCTCTGCGGGGCTGAGAACTGAGCCAGTGACTATAACTGGGGGGTGGTCAGCAAAGCAGGAATTGCTGTGCTTCTCTTCCAGTGGCTGACTAATTATTTTAAAGAGAGTCACAGCTTTTTTTTTCTGTTTCGTATTTTCTTTTTTTTTAATGAATTAATTTTTTATTGGTGTGTTCAATTTACCAACATACAGAATAACACCCAGTGCTCATCCCGTCAAGTGTCCCCCTCAGAGCCCGTCACCCATTCACCCCCACCCCCCGCCCTCCTCCCCTTCCACCACCCCTAGTTCATTTCCCAGAGTTAGGAGTCTTTATGTTCTGTCTCCCTTTCTGATAGCTTTGAGTGAAAATTAGATCCAGAAGCACCAGACATCAGCTGAACCCCAACTGATCACGGGGCGCAGGGAGAGGGCAGGACTTGACCACAGACACTGCTAGGGGCTGGAAGCAGATCGCGGTTTGGTTTGCTGGCAGGACATTTCCTGTCCCTCACCATGGACTCATCCCCAGTCACGCCTATTTCCATGAAAACAAAGATCACACTAACAAAATACCCGAAATAAATACTAACCTATTTTTTTCTTGAGCCAACAGCAGAATAGGGCCATAATGGTGGGACCAAGGACGCCAAGCAGCCCCTCCAAGATTCCTGAGGCGAGCAGTTCCTCTCTGTCCTCCACGGGCACTGAGGGGAGAGGTCTACACATGAGCCCCCGTGCAAGGTGCTGGCCTTGTCTCGAGGCTGGGCTGAGGCCAAGGTCTGCTCCTCCAGAGTGAGGGGGGCAGGGGTGGCAGGCCTGAATGATGTGACTTGCAGCTCATCACACTGATGGCAGGAGAGAGGCACCAGCCTTCACATGCTCTGTGCCCCTCAGACATACCTCCCAGGACATCACCACCCACAGACACTCCATCGTTGGTAGCACAGTGCCAGAAATTCTGTGGGGTCAGGATGCTGGAAAGAGGCATTGATTGACCAAGACAGTTCAATAGCCTGAGCTGTACCTGTGATGTTGAGTGTCACCACCTCGCTGTGCTGGGCCCCCAGGCCATTGTCAGCTTCACAGGAGTAGTTTCCAGAATGTTCCATGGTAAGAGAGAGGTTGAAGGACGCTCCTTCTCCAGAGGGGGCTGAGCTGCTCCCCAGGGTGACATTCTCATGATAAAACTGGTACAGGATTGGGGGAGAGCCCCCATGGGCCTCACAGTGAAGCTCCACCATGTCCCCAGGGAAGACCTGGGCCCCAGACACCCTGAGGGTGAGGATGGGGCGGGACACTGGACCTGAGGGAGATGGCGGGCCATCAGAGAGGGTTCCCATGTCATGACAGACCCATAATCCCTGCCCACACAGGCTAAACCCCCTTGAACTTCCCCGGGGTGACCCAGGGGAATGTGGAGCCCAGCTAGTGGGGATGCTATCGAGACAGAAAGTCGCAAACTTACTTCTAACGGTGATGCTCACGAGCTCGCTAACACTGGGGCCGTAGCCGTTGTCAGCCGTGCAGTAGTATTTCTCCGAATCACTCTCCGTTACCCTTGGGATCTCGAAATTCGCGGACAGTGAGCGCTGGGTCTTTGTTTCCAGGTTCAAACCCAGGGCCCCTTTGTACCAGGAGAAGGTGATGTGTCCCGTGCCCTGGGTGGCCAAACAGATGAGAACCAGCTTCTTTCCCTTCTGCACTTGTCCCTCTGGAGGCTGTGTCTCCAAGCTCACATTCCAGACCGGGACTCCTACACAAACACAAGGTGACACAGGTGGGGTGACTGTCCTGAAAGCAAAGGTCTTGGGTAAAGTCAATAATTTGTACAGTTTAATGGTGGCAGGTGGTGGTATTCTGAAGGGTGTTTTTGCTGATTTGGGTCAGCCTTGGTCAGGTGGATGGTGGTAGGGTGAGGAAGGCCAATGGGTACAGCACCCCCTCCCTCCAGGACCCTGGCTTCTCAAACCCTCACTCTACAAGGCACAGCAGTACAGTGGCCATAGTCCAGATTGCAGATCAAGCTTTCTGGCCTGGAATGCTGGTTGTACATCTTACTGTGTGTGCTCCAATGGCTTCTCTTCTCTGAGACTCAGTTCCCCGTCTAAACAATGTGAGGGGTCATGAGAGTTATCTCCTACAGCTGGGGTGGTTCCATTACATAATGCATTTGGGGCCTAGAGCAGGGCCTGCTACCCAGCAGTTGTTGGTTCTGGTCCAGCCTCACCAGTGCTGAGTTTTGAGCAAGGGTAGGAAAGCCAACCTTCTGGAGGAATTCCACATCCGCTTCCCGGCACCATGGACGCATCCTTGTCTGAGAATGGGGGAGGACGTTAGAGTGTCCACCCTGATGTGGAGTGACATGGTTCAGAGTCACAAAACACCCCCTTCTCTACCTCTCTTTCAAAACCCAGCCCAAGCCTCTCCTCTAGGAGCTTCCTGCACAAAGCCAGCCCTTACCATCCAGGTCTGGTTTATGCAGCTCCCTTGACTCCCACCACCACCACGCGTTTCCTCCTAGCTGTGGAGAGTGCCGAGGGCACTTCTGGACATCACGGGCCATGATTATGTAGTGATTCACCCCCACTCTCCAGCACCAGAGGACACAGTGAGGGGTTCCTAAGACTCCTCTGTGCACTTGAGCAGGATTAGCAAGAATAAGGGAAGACCCCTCAAGGACTCTGATAAGGAGAGAAGCTCAGGCTCAAGCAAACTTCCAACAGCTCCTCCTTCTGCAGGGAAGAGCAAGCCCGTGCCCCACCTGAGTCAGCCCCCAGTGCAGGGCCCTCCACGCTCACCCTGCACCTGTATCTGGATCCTTGGGCTCCGAGTGACTTTCTGTGCCGAGGTCTTTGCTTCACACCAGTAGGATCCCGAGTCTTTCCTCCACACAGTGGGAACCTGGAGCACCGGGTCACTGCCACAGCCCAGATCCAGGGCCTGGTCATCTCTGAAGAAGCAGAACTGGAGCTGGTCATCCAGCTGCTGAGAAGTGGCCTCAGTCTCACAGGTCAGGGTCATTGATCTCCCCTCCAAGGGCCAGGAGGGCCTGGCTGTCAGATGCAGTGCTAGAGAGGCGGACAAAAGACATGCCAGGGAAATGGGTTTCAGAGTTCCTGTAAGAGGCATGTTGTGTTCTCAACATTTGAAACAAGGCCCAAACAACCTGTATATTGGGTGCAGAGACCACCCCCCAGCTCAGCACCACCTGCCCCTGGGCAACACTTCCTCTCTCCACAAGGCAACCTCCATCTTCAGCTTGATTCCCACTCTGTGAGCTAAAACCCCCTGTTTTGGAGACAGGACAGGGTACTGACAACCGTTATCGGAGATGGTAAAGCCTGAGGTTTCAGAAAAAGTGAGTGTGTCTCATTCATTCTTGTTGTAAACTAGTTGGTTATCTTCTTCTGCCCGCCCCGCCGGGCATCCCAGAGCCACACTGTCTTTCATGGACAGAATGTGACACCAGAGGGCCTGCCAATCAGGGGAAGTTAGAGGAATTCAGTGCTTTCTTTATGGATTGTCTCCCGCCCCTGCTAGTTCTGCTCCCCATAGAAGGAACAGGCTCACGCTTGCCTGAAAGTGCCACGTGCCCACACCCAGCTCCCTGGCTCTGGGATTTCATGCAAACCTCTGTAGAAGCCACAGTTGTGAGGGACAATTTCAATCCATACCTTAACCCTCAGGAATGTCTCCCTTGTTGGCTGTAAGGGCTCTTCTCGGGGTGGGCTACAGACGGGCAAAGCTGGGTCCCGCTTCCCTTTGTCTCCATCGGCCCAGCTGCAGCACCCAGGAAACACCAAATCCCTGAGTACACTGGCTCTTGAGGCATGTGTCTATCCAACCTCAGAGCCTCTGCTCTTTAGGAAAGTTTAGGAAGTTTCCCTCCTCACCAGATGAAAATGCCAAGTGTTCTCAGTCACAGAGAGGTGATTGCTGCACCAACACCTGTCATCCTCCAGCCTGGCTCCTGGAATGCTTTACCCTAGCACTTTTAAAAACTCAATTCCAACACTGGTACCAGGATGTTTGCTCTGGGAACTGGGATTCCTGTGCACTGGGGGCTGTTTTCTCTCCTTGGAAAAATGCAGTCCCCAGAGCACTGAGGACAGCACAGCTCTTGGACAAAGAAGGGAATAAAGCAGACATCTAGGCACCTGACCCCACCCTTCTGAATGGGGCGGGTGGTGTAGAGCAGACACCGGACAGGCAGTTTGCAAGGGCGGAAGCTCAGTCTTGCAGCTCGGAGCTTGTTTCAGATCATTCTCAGGTATTCCCAGGAGTACCTGGCAAATGCCTGGGGGTGGAAGCTTTGTTTCTTCTGGATGTGGTTTTGGATTTCTGCTTAGGCTCAGATTGGGCACATGCATTTGTAGGGTGAAAGGGTCAGGCACGAGGCATGTTGGCACTAACCCTCGGCCTGAGTTCAGCTTGGACAAACCTTAGGAGAGCACCCAGAAGGCTAGTTTGGCCCTAAATATCTCTGGCCACTGGCCCTCCAGAGCTTTGTCCCCTGGCTGTACGTGTGACCTGTGTTCTTGAGGTGGCAGGAAGCCTCTTTGAGCCCTGGGGTTAGTGCCCTAAGTATAAGAGAGCAGTTCTGATGTATCCTGGGTTGAAACCCACTTCAGTGGAAGATTCCTTCTGGGGGAAATCTTCCTCCTCTCTTCGTCTGGTAAAGGTGAATCAGAATCCGAGCAATGGCAGGTTTGCACCAACCAGGGCCTCAGAAGGAAGTCGCACAGGGCAGCAGTTGTGGCGACAGAGCAGGGCCGGGAATGCAAAGGAGGCAGAGGGCTACTGCACTTTCACGTGACCCAGGGGCCGACCGTCATGTCCTCCACGGATGTCAGATGGCAGCGTTTCCACCGTCACTCCTTGGGGAGCCCCCTATGGGGAGACAAGGGGCCTTGGAGCCCTCCAGGCTGGGAAGGCAGAGATTCTTCTAATATCCATCTTCCACACTCTCTGACTTCCTGTGGAAGCGCATCTCCCTTCCTGAGCTCACACTTCCCACAGAAAGGACTGTGGTTTTGAGAAGGTCAGAGCAAGGCCTGCTCTCCTAGCTGAGCAGCCATGTGTCAGGTGCACAAACTGGTCTGAACACAGGCACCTGGTCCCCGGGGGAGCCACTGTCATGGTAGACCTCAGCGGCTGTCACCAGATGTCACACAGCATCCACGGGCCCCCTGCATGGACCGGCCCAGTGACAAGATGCCTGCAGACCGTGAAGAGGAAAGGGAAGTGCTACGTACCTTCACTGGTTGGTTCTCGGGGTTGAGCTAGGAGAGAATTCAGGAGACATCAGCGCCAGTGTGGATGGCCCATGGGCAGCCCCATGCTGCTCTCCGCATGCCCTCCCCTACTCCCTCTTCCCCCCTTCCCCTCCCATCTCTCCTTGGCTCCTGCCCCCCCGTTCTTCTCCCTCTGTCCTTTTTAACCTCTCTTCCTCTCCTATGTGCCCCATCACCACACAGTTCCCTTCGTGGTTGGGAAATCATTCCCAGTCATTGCTCCCATCCATGGTTAGGAGGTGGTGCCTTTGTTTCATGACTCCTTCACTCCCCTGGCCCTCATCCCTCCTCTCAAATGTCCTGACAACCCCACCCTGGGCCGACCGCAGTGACAACAGCTAGGTCCTGCTTCACACTCAGTGCCCTTTATGCACCAATGTCTTGGCAGAGGAGGTCCACAGAAGGGATTTGGATTTCTCCAAAGATCCTCCCATATCCCAAGGGCTTGACTGTAGTCTTGCAGCGTGAGGATCAAGAACAGAACATTCTGGGGAGCTGCAGGCTCTGCAGCCAGAGAGCACGGACCTGAACGCTACCTCTTTTCCTTACAAACTGTGCTACCCCAGGAAGACGCTTCACCTCTCTGGACTCTACTTTCCTTTTCTGTGAAATGTAGGTAATAATAGACTTACTTTCCAGAGTTTCTGCGAAGATTAAATATATTGGTATCCATAAAATGCTTAGAATCATGCTTGGCATTTATTTCACATTCAGTAAATATTACTGATTATTGCTACCTATTCGAGCCCATGTTTAGTCTGAGATGCTTAGCCTGCTATTCTAGCTTATTTGTTCCTCAGCAGAATGCAATCAGTGGAGCTGGCATGAAAATCACATTTTTTAAGCCACCATACTACAAACAATTTCGAGTGCTTACTGTGTGCCAGGCACTGCACGTGGGATTGGGTTTGTAAGAATGAATGTGAACAACAGTGTTTGCCATCAAGGGATTTAGAGAGAGAGCCAAATCAATATATAACCTGATTTCAGAGAGCAATCAGTGCTATAGGAGAGCTGAAGCCGCGAGATAGGTTAGAGTATCTCAGGATGGTCTTGACTCTTAGGAGAGATGCCAACTGAGTAGAAAACAGAATGAAAGTAGAGAGCTGCCTTCTGAGTGTTTGGAAACAAGCACCCCTGGCACCAAATGAGCAAATGCAAAGGACCTGAGAAGGAATGAACTCATGGGGGGAGTAAGGAGAGGCGGTGCCCCTAGAGTGGATACAGAGGCAGTAGTGGGCACTGGTGTGGTCGGAGGTGGTAAGAGCCAGTCATGGAGGGCTTCCTGGATTTGGCCCCAGGTCTGGATTTCATTCCAGGTATGATGGGGAGCTGTGGGCAGTTCTGATTCCCCTTACGCTTGTAAAATCACTCTTACCCTGGGAGAAGGGCAGACCACGGTCATGCAGGAGCAGCAGAGAGGACACTTGTAGCGATTTAATCAGGAAGACAGAGGACACCAGCTCAGGCTAAGCAGGGCTGCCCATGAAGGGGCAGATTCCAGTATAAATTTGAAAGCAGAATCAGTAAGAATAACTTACAGTTTGGAGGTCAAGTGTAGAAGAAAGAGAAGAAGGAGTATAGGTCTTAGATTTTTGGCAGCAGCCTTTGGAAGAGTGGAGGTCACCGTAGGAAACAGGTTAAGTGAGGGGAACATACAGGAGATCGGGACATATGTTTGGCCGTGTGGAGTGCAAGGTGTCGATGGGACAGCTGAGTGGCCGTTGATGCATGAAAAGTGCTCAGAGGAGAGACCAGAGCTGGGAAATGAGCTTGAGTTTAAGCACAAAGTGGAGCTGAAGTGTCTGAACTGGTCTGGGAAGTGAGTGCCAGTGGAGCATGAGGTCTGGGCACCAGCCTTAGGGCAAGTCCAACCCTGATGGCCAGGAAGCAACAAAAATTGGGTTAGAAAGAAAACCAGCAGCCTGTGGTGTTCCAGAAGCCAAGGTAAGAAGTGCTTCCAGAAGACAGAGCGAAGGAACACCCCTGAGAGGCTGAGGGAAAGGAAGCTGAAAACAAAGCCTGGGTCAGGGTGTTGTGGAGAGGGTTGGTGGTCTCAGTGGGAGCCGTGGAGGGGACAGAAGGTGGGCAACTGTGGCTCAAGGAAGGGTGAGAGGGACCTGTCAGCACCAAGAACCGGCCAGTGGTCACCGGGGCTTAGGAACCTGGAGGTTTGATGCCAAAGGGATGGAGGCCAGGAGGGAGGGTTTGAGGCAATGGAAATGCTCTGCATCTTGATGGTGCTGGTGCTCACATGACTGCAGATCCTTCTGGAAAATCATAGATGGTGCATCAAAGAAGTGAATTTTACTGTCATGTAAGTTAAAAATGAGTTTGAAACAGGAAGGATGGGAGGAGCTGAAGCACTCCCAGCAGCTCCCTGGAAATTTTGTGAAAGGGAGCAGGCCACTGTCAGGGCACACTTCCGTCGTTTTAGGAGAAAAGACATGGTGGCATGTTTGTATATTTACAGGACTAACCCAGAATGAAGAAATGCAGTGACGGCACAGTGATGGCTGTAAGAAAGTGAGAGCATCAAGGACCCATGCACAAGGGAGGAGTCCCGTCCTACACCGGAGGATGGGCAGTGTGGTCCTGATGAGGGACACACAGCAGGGGTGGGGGGTTCGCAGACACGGCTTGGAAAGCTGAGGACATTCTCTTTTCATGGCTTTCCTTCCTCGTGACGTGCAGCCAGCTTATAAACTGAGAGTGAGGAGGAGGAGTTTGAGGAGACAGAGAAGGTAGCAGACAGCGG